TGCACATCCATAGCTGAACATCCAGAACTCCACATAGAGAGCTCCAAATCCAGACCTCCACATCCAGACCTCCACATCCAGAGCTCCACATCCAGAGCTGCACATCCAGAGCTCCAAATCCAGGGTTCCACATTCAGAGCTGCACTTCCATTGCTCCACATCCAGAGCTGCACATTCAGAGCTCTGCTTCCAAAGGCGATGGATTTTCCTAACAGCATTTGGACATAAAACATCAAATTAATTGGAGGCTGTGGCAGGAAACTTCACTGCCACTCTCGACCGTGGACTGGTTGGATTGGAAGGGTCCTGCAAGGTCACCATGGGATGTTTGGGTTCTAAGGGTCCTTAAAGCTCTCTACCACTCTGTATCCCATCGTGGAATGGGTTGGAGGTTTGTTGTTTTGTTTTTAGTTTTTTTGTTTGTTTGTTTTGTTTTAATTAGGGCTGTGCTGGGTGGGGCTGTGAAGGAAATGATGGCGTTCAGCACAGCACCATGGGGAGCCGCAGTGGGATGGGGTCCGCAAAACATCCCCCCCCCAGCGACTCCCAGGCCTCACCTCTCCCTCACAAATCATTCCTGGGCCACATATCCCCCACCCCCCCACCAAAGACCCCTGGGCCACCCTCCATTGACCCCCTCCCACCCCACACGCCCCCTCAGGCCCCTCACTACTACATGCTGCCCCCTCCAAAGCCCTGAGTGGGCCCCCCCACTACTCTACGATCCCCTTCGCCCACCTGCCGCCCTCCCGTCTCTGAATTCGGCACTCCCCCCTCCCCCCGTCTTTAGGGCTGCGGCCCCTTTAAGAGCGCTCGGCCCCGCCCCCTCTGCGTGATGACGCAGCGCCGTGCGTGCGGCGCCCACTTCCGGCCCGCCGCCCGCCGCAGTGACAGGCAGCAGTCAGAGCGCGGCGCGGGCACAGCGGGACCGCCGCCCCCCGCCGCCGCCATGAACGGCAAAGGCAAGCACCGCGCCGCGCCCGGGGCAACTCCGGGGGTCACGCCGCGCCGCCGCTGTCACCACCCGGGGGTCGTCTTTTAAGGGGGTCGCGGCGCCTTTAAGGGCCGCGCCGCAGCAGCGGAACGGACCAATAGGAGCGACGCTACGGGGGGCGGGCGCGCGTGTTGCCATGGCGACGGGCGGCTCGGCCGGGGTTTAACCCTGTGTGCGCCGCGGGGGACCGCTTGGGGGGGAATCCCCGGATGACGTCACGAGGGGCTGCGTTCAACGCCAGGGGGGAGGGGCGGAGCGGAGACCCCAGCGGATGAGGAATGGGGGGTGGGCCGTGGGGGGTAAGGGGAG